TAATTTTAAAAAAATATTTAACTTAATATTATTTTACTTATTCTATTGGGATAGTTAATATAATTCAAAATAATATTTTATAAATAAAGTTTTACCCATGACTAAATCATACATCTCGTAAATAAATGTTAAAAATTATTTCTTGTTTGTTTTATTTCCCGTATAAATTATTTACTGTGTGAACTAATGTTTTATATGCATGTATAGATAAGAAATTTTCATGGACCCCAAATCAATCAATTCAGAAATATCCGTTCTACTACATGCAACATGGACAGAGAAACTCTTTTTATTAAATCCCTTTTGAAACAATAAGAAATTGGCTCTTGTTAAGTGAGACAAAAAAGTGTTGCAAGTAGCATTCTTGTGTTGTTAAATATCTACATCTATATACATAAATTAATATATATATATATGTAGAGAGAGAGAGAGAGAGAGAGAGAGAGAGTTGGAAGAGAAAATTACTTACAATGATGCCATTAGCAAAACGCAGAATGAGAATCTGAACGAGAGCTTAAGCTGCAAGGTGGAGCTGAGAGATATGGCCAATGAAAGCTTGTGCTTGTGTTACAACAGGTGTTCCAAATTGAGAAACTTCAGCTATTATTGTAGGAAATGCAATCTTCCATATCTTCTTTGATACCTCCCAAACTCTCTCTTTCAAACTATTACTTAACCCATTTTCATTCTTTCTTTCTATTGACATCCCAAGAACCTGCCTCATCTCCTCCATGCTAATTGCTCTTATTTCAAAATCAGAAAACCACACACCAAACCATAAGACATACATATATATATATATATATATGTATATATATTTAATTAATGTATACTTCAACGGGGATCAATTCAACCTAATATCTACATATTATAATTAAACGTGTGCTGCAACTAATTTTTTCTAAATATTTACTAATTAATATACGTAGATTTATGTTAGTGGGGCTTGATATGATATGACCATATCTAATGCTGAACAAGTTTATATACCCACAAACTGAATATATATATATATATATATATATATATATATAGAGTTGTAGACTTTTAATTTTATATGCCTTTTGTATGCAATATATACGGGATTTGCTAACTATCAATTATGTTCCCAAAGAATGCATTAATGTTCCCACGTGGAGCAACATTGTAAAAAAAAAAAAATTAAGTCTAGAATACTAATTGCAGTTCTTTTAATGATAATTTCAACTATTAAGATTTATCTATATTTTATTATTATTTTAAATATATATATGCATCAGTTACTATCTTGAACTATTAGTTACTAACTGATGGTATCCAACTAAAAATTAATAATAAAAAATAATAACTAAAGTTAATAATAAAAAATAATAACTAAAAATTAATAATAAAAAATAATAACTAAAGTTAATAATACATTTTTTTTTTTGCACAATAAATATGCATGAATTGTTACAAATGTGAGAATGTATAATTTACTCGTGTTTAATTGTAAACAATAGTTTTTTAATCCTTATTTATTAATATTTATTGAGAGAGAATTTTTAAAAAACATAATTTTTATTAGTTAAAGTAATAGTGATCACATAATAATAAATTATCAAATTAGTTTTTAAAAATTTATATTTGTTGTATTTTAATTCTTAATATTTTTTGTTTATTGAAGCTCTAACAAAGAATTATAATTTAGTTTTTAAAAATTAATTGTAACGGCCCCGGTAATTCATAATGGAATTTGTATTATAAATATGAAATGCGGAAGCGAAGTCAAAACTTGAATAACATCCCTTACACTAAAACCAAAACGTGCTCACAAAATATAAAAGATTAAACTACCTAAAGAAGAAACTTGAAAGTAAAAACTACGAATGTGACTATGGAGTCCTTAGGCGTCCCCTTCGTCGTCCTCCTGCGGAAGCGGCTCGGGAACGATGTCCTCTTGATCTGAAATGATTAAATAAGGAATGAGCTACACTAGCTCAGTAAAGACATCACGATATCTCACCGTCACGGAGGTAAATGTGGGTAGAAAACACAAAAAGACCAATGGAGCATAATTTACAACAAATCCTTTTATCGAAAATAAAACCTTTACCATTTACTCACCTCGGTGAAATTCATAAAACAATATACGAAAGCAATAACATCATCATCATCATGAAAACATATATATGAACTGTATAACATAATACCTATCACACTCTTCGTAATTCAATAGTTTTACAACATATTTTCCTAATTCACCAGCCCACTAGTATCCATGGGGATCCATAGGGGTCCCGCTACCCGTTAATCCTTAACACTTGAGATCATATTCCAGGACCGTCCCTATACCCCGTCCGGTATGGGCACCAAACCATAGACCTCATTACCCCGTCCGGTATGAGGGTGAAACGGGCCGTCCCCATACCCCGTCCGGTATGGGCGCCAAAACACATAAGATCTCCATACCCCGTCCGGTATGGGAGACCACAATCCCGGTAGGGTTCCCTACGGACCCGGTCCGTCCACCATCTCCCAGGATATCTAATCAGGCTGAACACATTATACAATTTTCATTCACGTAATCTTTCATTCGCCTTTTCCCTCAGTCAGCATTTTCAATCACATACAAACAAGCTAAACGATAATTTATGCCAAACAGACAACATACAGTATCAACACCCCCAGTCATTCAATCCATAATCAATAAAACAGTATAATATGCACACGAAACCATAAAATGAAAACATCGAACCTCATGCTGCATTGAAGACTGTAAAACAGGCCAAATAACAGTTAACCGACAAATACACTAGACTCGGGCTCCATTAGCGACCTTAAGCAATTTCACACATTCGTTGATTCATGAAATACCGTTTTATCATTTATTGAACTTTAAAACCGTGATAGGAAATAGGGTGAGGGGTCCTTACTCGTTTCGGGGGTCCGAACACGGCTTCACAGTGCGCCTACAGGCTGTCCCTAATTTTCCCTGAATTTTCATCGGGGAACTGAAACGCACTATTGGTACCTGCACGTGTTCCAAAAAAATCCCAAATTAGGCCCAGGGCCCCTTTCGGCCCAAATCGCAACTCCGGCACGGCGGCTCCGCCGCTGGCGGCGGCGATTCGCCTCGGGTTGGCTGTTTTCGGCCGTTTTCGACCGAATTCGGCCACACTCACATCGGTCCCTACGAGAAAACAACCCTAGGGCCCTCGGGGGGGCCAAAAAATCACGGAAAAACGGAGCTTACCGGCGGCGCTCTCGGGTCTGGCGGCTCTCCAGCGAGGTTCGTGTTTTGGTGATTCGGCTTCGGTCAACCTGTAGAGGAAAGAATGGTGATCACGGTGATATAAAATTTGCATCAAATGGAGGCCGGGAAGGGCCTCATCGGAGGCAAAAACCGAGAAGGGCGCGGCGGCGCCGCTGGGCTTCGGCCGTGCATTCCGGCCGTTTGGCCGGGATTTTGGCTCCGATTTGGCCACAGGAGGAATCAGCGTGGAAAAACGAGTCGGGGATACGAAATTTACCTCGATCGGCGGTCGGAAGTTCCTCCGGTGCGGCGGCAGGTGGCGGCGGCCAGCTTCTGGTTCGTCTTCTCCGGCGAGCGGCAGGCGGCAGGCGGCTAGGGTTTGTGGTCTGGTGTGGAGGTTCTATTTATAACCCCTTGCCTTTTGATCTCAGCCGTTCATTTTGTTTTAATCTGGGCCGTCCGTTTTTGATTAAATCTGGGCTGTCCGTGTGTTTAAATCTGGGCCGTCCGATCGCACGCTTGATCTAGGCCGTCCGATCGCACCCACGCAGATCGCCAACGTGGCCCTTTTTGGAATGACGTGGTTTTGCCACGTGGCAGGTCCCGGTTGGCTAGGACTGCTGACCGGACCTGCTGACGTAACTGCCGACGTGGCTTTTTTTTTTTTTTTTTTCTCCTTCTCGGTCCGGGCGCTACATTAATAGTTTTAAATTTTTTTTAATATAATAATTAAAAACTTGGAACTTAACAGTAATATCATTCATAATAATATATACATTCTAATAACACAACTCATATATGAAAAGATTATACAAAATTCAACAAAGAAATTAAATTAAATAATTAAAAAAAACCTTATTTGTTAAAATTACGAAAGTTTTGTATCCATGAACCGGATTTGCTCGGCTTGTTATTTATAGTTTAAAATTTTAAATTCACTTAAAAATTATAAAAAATAATAGAATAAAAATTTTGTTTTGAAATGTACAAAAAATGAATAAGAGTGTGAACTTTACACACGAAAACATTATAAATATAAATGATACGTACAATTTATTAACACCATATTGATTACTTCTTGTTCTTTTGCCCCTCCTTTAATACAAATAAACTTAACTTAAAGTCTTTAATAAAAACAATCAATTGCTATCGTGATGTCAAACATAATAAAACCCAATCCACCCATGCTTTCAAAATTAAGCATAAGATTTTGGAAGATTTTAATAAATTAAGAGTCTTTTCTAACAAACAATAAACATAATAAGTTGTATCAATCATATATATATATATATATATAATATGTCTTGATATTGAAGAGATTATATGTCAAAATTGTGGTACAATTCTCATGTAATAAATTTAAAATATAATTATTTTATAAAATATGAAAAATAATAACTACCAATCTAAAATAAACAAACTTCATCCATTAACTGAGTCCCTCTTGAACTGAATCTTCGTTACATTCATCTGAATTTTTTAGCAACAATTTGTTTAGTCGTTCTGATGCTTTGTTAACCTAAAAAATTAGAGTAAAACATTGATAATGAACAACAGTTTCTGTCAAGTTTAGTTATATTTAACTTTTTTACTTCCTTTTTTATGGATAAATTTTTTTATTTGTTCTTAAAAATTCATAGGTGTTATTATAAATATTTGATAGCAGAAAAAATATTTTAGAAAAGTAAAAATGTATATGGGTTTAAAAGTAAAAAGAATTTTATGATATGTATCTATACGACTAACAATATAGTAATAAAGGAATGAAATTTTTAATTAAAAAAGTTTTCAATGTACCTACCTGCTCATTCCAGTCAGTTGTCCAAGTAACATATGCTAACATCAATGATTGTAATATAACACCAAGTTGCATTCCTATCCATATTCCCTGAAAAACAATTGAAACACATATCATAATTGTATAAATGAACATGATAATATAATCTCATGCTAGAACTATAGGTATAAATCTCAAGTCATATACTACTAATAATTTAAATTTAAATTCTTGATCCTATTTGTTTATATTAGTAATTCTTAAGTTTATAAAAATAATATTTAGATCACTATATTATTGAGCTCCGTATGAAGTTATTGTAATTATTGAGTTCATAATTTTCATTTTTGGTACCCTATATAAATGACATAAAATTTTCGAAACTAGTAATGTAAATCCATTTTTTGTCCGACAAATATGTCATTGTGGAGCTCCATATAAAGATTTGTATCGTGCACTATCAATAAATTGACTTCAATTAATAGAAAAAAAAAAAAAAATTATAACACCTTTATTTTCATATGTAGCACATATCCCAGTAGAAGCCCAACTGGTATTCCAACTATATAATAGCAGAAGATATTAATATATGCTACCATACTCTGTCTTCCAGCACCTATTGCTGCTCCTGAAATATTTACATGATTATGTAAGCTTTTTGTCAAAAGTTTTGTTAATCAATCTTGCATGCAAAAGATATGAATTAACACTTAATTTGACGTGATCGTGTATATGTGCTTATAATAATATAAATAGATATATGTGTGTGTGTGTGTGTGTGTGTGTACATATATATATATATATATATATAGAGAGAGAGAGAGAGAGAGAGAGAGAGAGAGAGTAAGAATATACCTGTAAGTACACATTGAATGCTATTGAGAAAAACTGATAAAGAAAGTAAGAATGTGAGTTTTGATAGATATTCTACTACTTTCTCATCATTTATAAATAAGTATCCGATTTTTCCCCCGCATATCAAACAGAGAGCGCAGAAGAACACTCCTACGCAAATTGATGTAAATGTGATGACTTTCACTGAAAATTTTGCAGCTTCTGCATCTCCTTTTCCTAATTCATTTGAAACCCGCACGCTGTACAAAAAAAGACTTATGAAGAAAATTCGTGCTCTAATTCTATCATAACAAGGAAAAAGAAGAAAGAAAATGATACCTTGAGGAGACAAGGAAGCCAACGCATAACATGAATTCCCAAGATATGATATTAAGGCTGTAATCAAAATTGTAATTCAGAAGATTTTTATATTTTTATTTGAGCTTAAATTAAATGATAAGTTAAATACAAATAAATATATATATATATATATATATAATATTACCATATAGAAAAAGCAGATATAGCAACTGCAGCATTTTTCGCGTATCCTGCTAGTAGGATTATAATAGCATTATACCATAATTCCAAACTGTTCAAGAATGAAAAGCAAAAGAATTATTATAAGAAAGAATCAAAACTTAATTAAGAAATGTATATCTATCTATCTACTCCTTGTAAATTTTAATAATGGTGTATATAAATCTTATAATTAACATATATGCCTATTATGAAATTATTATAAACAAAGATAAAAACAAAATATGGATATATATATATATATATATATATATATGTACCAGAGCATCAAACCAGAAGATATTGAGAGCTTTATAATTGGGAAAAGATCAGAAAAGGCAGCACAAGTGAATCCTCTCCATGTTTTTGGACACCAACCCCCAAATATATACATAAATTCTGCAATTACAACAAACCAACTAGCTACTATAATTGCAGTCATTGCTCCAGGAATCCCCCAGTGTAATTTGTTGACAAAGATCCATGATAGTAACACATGGATAAGAAGTGATCCAGCAGACACCCATCCAACAAAGTTGTTCTTGAGTTGTCCTTGCAAGTACTTTTGAATGGTGAAGCTAAACACAAAAGAGTAGAGAATAGGTATGAACCATAATGAAATATATCCCGCAAGCCTTGCAATATCTGATTGTTCACCGAGTATCATAAAGATTTGTCTAGCGAAAAAAAATACAGGGAGCAATAAAGTTGTAGTAACAAGATTGATGATCCATGATCTTTGCAAGTATATTCCCATCATGTGGTATTGCTTTGCACCAAATGCTTGTCCACAAAGAGTTTCAGTTGCAGTTGACATCCCCAGCTGCACAACAGGATTGTTAAAGCAGAAATTTATTTCATAATCAGTTCATGTTTGTTGAATATTAATTTGTTTCTTAATTTATGGTAGAAACCAATATTAGAAAATATATACTTTTGTACTTATTCTGTTTTGGACCGTTATTATAATATCGAGCAAATTTCGTGAATAAAGTTCTAATGAGAAGTATGTTTCTTAAATCATCAATGGGCATATGTTAAAATTTGCTCTTGTATGTTTTATTACTCATAAATTATTTTCTATATGAACTAATATTCTTGTGGCACAAGAAGTGAACAAACATGGACATATAAGTAAACTTTTTTGTTAAACCCCCTTTGACACTAGAAGAGATTGGCTTTTATTAAGTGGGAAAAAAGTGAATTACATGTAGCATTCTTGTGTTGCTAAATATATCTACATGTGTGTTTGTGTATCTGTACATACTTACTGTGATGCCAATAGCAAAACGCAGAAAGAGAATCTGAATGAGAGCATAAGCTGCAAGGTGGAGTTGAGAAATATGACCAATAAAAGCTTGTGCTATAACAAGTGTTCCAAACTGAGAAACCCTAGCTAACGTTGCAGGAAATGCAATCTTCCATATCTTCTTTGATTCCCCCCAAACTCTCTCTGCCAAATCACTACTTATAACATTCTTTCTTTCTCTTGATCTCCCAAGAAGAAACTGCCTCATCTCCTCCATGCTGATTGCTCTTCTTTCAAAATTTGCAAGCCACACACTACGTACAACATAAATAAACTATATGTATATATATACTTAATTACCACTTCAAAAGGGATTAATCCAACCTAATAATTATGTATAATAACCTTTTTTTTTACTAAAAATTCATACATTAATTAATTTAATCATATATAAAAATTAATCATTACATAACATGACACAATCTTCAAACAATTACATATAAAAATACTTATTTTGTAAAAGAAAATGTGACAGATCATTAATTTATGGTTAAGTAGTAGTCAATAATAATTATATGTAATAATTAAACATATGTATCTAACCATTTTTCAAACATGTATATTTGTGCTAGTGGAGGTTGCTATGACAATATATATCATTGAACAAATTCATGTACTCCAGAATACATATATACGTAGGTTAGGCTTTCAATTCCATATGAATTTTGTATATGAGCATCAAGTTTCGCTAGCTATCATTATGTTACCAAACACTCTAATAATATTTATAATACCCGAGCCCAAAGAACAATCCGAGACAAAGTTTTTATCTTTATTTAAGTGAAATTTTGAGAAAAAATAAATTAGGGATGATATTGAAAAGTTTTTGAGAAAAATGGGTGAAAATTTGGGTTTTGAGAACGTTTTTAAAAGAAAATTAAAAACAGGAGATCAAAGTACAA